TGCCTGCAACTGTGGTACTTTTGTTAATCTGGAGGAGATTTTCTTTTTGTAAAAGCAATCCAAGGGGATAATTATCTGCTGGATCACTTTTACAAGCAGTGGAAAAGGGGACTGGAACGTCCCCAATCATCTCTATGGTATTAGAAACATCGAGTATTTCATCACTCCCGGTTTTCCTGGCATGTAAACAAGTCATTTTGAATTTATATAAAGCATCTGATCACACCAATATTGATGTGATCAGATGCTTTTATGGGCAGAGGAGAGATATGGGGTATATTAGACCATTTAACCATTTTAGTACCCTCATTTACAGTTTCTTAGCAATTTCACTGTAAATGGTAAAAAATTACTTTATCTTTCCACACACTTTCTGTGACAGTTCTAAGTAAGATTAAAAAAAGCACACACATAATGGAAAAAGAAACTTGTCAAGTACAGACATTTAAAAAGGGTTTTGCAATTATGGCACAATTTAATTTTTTTTTTCATGGGAAAGAAAAGTCAGACTGCAGAAGTTAGGACACATGGTGCCCGCTAAATAATGTGATGTCCAGGGCATGCCAGGGGACACTGGTGTTAAATTGAAACAGAGCAGCTGCTACGAGTCTTTGGTGTGGGATAATTGCTAATAGTGGTGAGTGAAATGCTATCCTATCTGTAGCCTTGATCCACAGAGATCCATAGGTAGTGTAATGTAATTATTCCCTTCTATGTGGGACGGCAGAAGAGATTATATCTCTGTATAAACAGAATGTAGACATGAACTCTGAAATTGTCAATTTATTTGAAAGACGTGGGTCTTTATCTTGAAAGCGGCGTAAGATAACACCACAGCATGCATTCTTTCTGGCCGATGTCTTGTAAGGAAATAAAACAAGTTTCTAGGTTGACATCTTTGCCTTCTGTAATATCTTTGCAGAGATGACTAAGCACTAGGAGAGAGAGGACATAATAACGGGAGCAAAAAGATATTGTGTTCAGAGAATAAGGGCTAAAGGAGCAGTCGGACATGGCAGTCAAATGCTCCAGAGGGTTTGTGCCACAAGCCGAGTAAGAAGTCCTTTGATGTCTGACATAGATAAAGCAGAGCTTGTTCACAGATTATGGATTTCTACCATTTTTGCTGGACGTATGTGGTGGTATGAAGTAATATGAAGAAGATAGATCTCAGAGGAACTTATGGAAGTTAACTTGCCTAAGAACAAAAATGAGAACATTTGTTTGAAATGCACAAAGTGACCAGTCACCTTTAAAATGTGAACTGAAAACAAGCACCTCCCTCCATCCCTGGTCCCTTATTTATTTTATAGGTGGAGAATATTGACAACCTAGGCCTTAAGATTTGTTTGGTTCTTGTGGCAAGAATGTGCTTGCAAGTATTTGGGCTTCTCCTCAACCTGGTCCAAATGGAAATTGGCTAAACCAAAAATAAATATATTGTGGAAGCTTCTCCACCAATTTTGCAAAACGGAATAAGGTAGATTTACTAAAGGCAAATAGACTGTGCATGGGGAAGTTCTGCTTTGCAAGAGAATGTACCCCAATGCTAAGTGAATGAGGTGAAGCTCTGTTGACTTCCATCATCCAATCATGTGCGAGCAAAAATACTATTTGTTTTATTTCATCAGCACACAACGACAGAGTGAATTTCATCACATTCACTAAGTTCTGGAAAATGTCCTTAGCAAGTGAACAGACTACTTGCCTTTGTGTATTATTTTATTTATTTCAGGTACTTATATAGCGCTGCCAATTTACACAGTGCTTCACACACACACACACACATATATATATATATATATATATATATATATATATATATATATATAATTATTTTTGTACATTCACATCAGTCCCTAACCCTCAGGGAGCATACAATCTAAGGTCCCTAACTCACATTCATACATACACATACTAGGGACAATTTAGATAGGAGCCATTTAACCTACCTGCATGTCTTTGGATTGTGGGAGAAAACTGGAGTACCCAGAGGAAACCCACACAGCAAAAGGGAGAACATGCAAACTCCAGGTAAGTGGTGTCATGGTTGGGATTTAAACCGACGACCCTAGTGCTGCTAGGCAGAAGTGCTAACTACTCAGCCACTATCCTGCCCATAGATGATTCAAAGAATAATACACTGATAACATTATTTCTATGGATATGGATCAATAAACAAAGCTGCATTAATTATTTTACATGCATTTGTTATTTAAAGTCAAATTCCAGGCTTACATCTAACGAGTTTTAAAATTGTCCCTTTCCCCTCCTAACATCTATTGTTGCTAATCTATGTAAAAATATCTATATGCTTACCTACTGTATTTTCAGGCTGCTCCAGTCCAGCTGCATGATACGGCTCCCCTGTCTTAGCCAGTGCTGCTGCAGGGGAGAGGAGATAGCACTGACAACTATTTCTCATGGTTATTTTCACTCTACTTTAAATTGCTTTATTTGCTGTTTTTCTCAAGAGCCATTGAACGTCATGATTGAAGTCCATCCAAACTTAGCTATAGCTATATTTTAACTGTTGACCCTTTTAACCACTTCAATACTTTCGCCCCTTTAATGCCCATGTCAATTTTCAGCTTTCAGTGCTGTCGCACATTTAATGACAATTGCACAATCATGCAACACTGTACCCAAAATAATTTTAATATTTTTTTTGAGACAGGTAGAGCTTTCTTTTTGGTGATGTTTAATCACCACTGTTTTTTTTTTTTGCTAACTTTTGCTACCGAAAATTTTGAAAAAAAACTTTTTTACTTTGTTTCTGTATTTTGCAAATAAGCCAATAAGTAACGTTTCTTCTTCACTGATGTGCACTGATGAGGCTGCACTGATGGGCACTGACAAGGCTGCACTGATGAGGCAGCACTGATGGCCACTGGTGAGGCAGCACTCATGGGCACTGATAAGCTCCACTGGTGGGAACTGATGGGCACTGATGAAAGGGCACCAATGAGGCTGCACTGATGTGCACTGATGAAGCTGCACTGGTGGGCACTGATATGCTACACTGATGGGGATTCACTGATGGGCACTGATATGCTGCACTGATGGGCACTGATATGCTGCACTGATAATAAGGGCATTAATGATCAATGCACTGATTATCAGTGTAAATATACCTGTCAAAGGAAAGCTGGTTATCATCTATCTTTCCTCAGACAGTGACGGCACTGAGGAAAGGAAATGCCAATAACTGGTATTTGTTTACATGTGATCAGCTGTGATTGGACACGGCTCATCACTGATTGTTGCGCTCTGCGCCCCCATGGGCATGCATGTGTGGCAAGAATGGGAGGACATCATATGACGGCAGTGTACAATAGGCTGGGCAGAAACCAGTGTATAATAATTGTGAATTGACTTTTACATACAAAATACTACAAAAATATATAATATGCATGTGTTACAAGCCTTTGATAAAGTCTTTAGTGAATTAAAAAAACAATTTTTACAGTAATAAAATAGTATGTTTTATATTTTAGAGCATTGATGCTGTTGCATATTATGTATAGGCTGTAACAGTTTCTAAACTAGAAAAATGATCACAACCTGGGAACATCATTTGATTTAAACATTTGTTTATTTTTTAATGTAATATTCAAGAGTAAGAAAGTCTTTAGGAAATATGATTCATTTGTATTTGCTGTCCGTGTCAGTTTGAGTTAATTAAAGCAGATCTGGAACACATTAAAATATTTTAGTGCTCTATATCATTACTTGAGGTCTTTTGAAAAGGGAAATTTGCTTGATTCCTTACAAAAGCCTTACCATTAGTGGTTGAAAGCTAAATTCCCTTTCAATGCTGTACAATCCAAATCTTTTTTTCCCCTCACTATCTAAGGCAGCTTGAAAAGCTTGAAGACATTCTTTGCAAGCCTCGAGGGTGCTTTTGGGTGGATCTTGCCTTACACGAGTACTGATCTGTATCAGCAGTTCTGGAAACATCTCCATTTTGCATGTAGCTGAATAAGCATGGTGTCACCTTAATTACTATTGTCCAGATGACCTCTTTATGTTTCTGACTTGCAGCTGTGTCAGAAGCAGCCCAGATTATTCTTTGCATGGCTTCTTGATTTAAATAGTTCCAAGTCTGCAATTTCAATTGGAAATCCAGAAAATATGTACAAGCATTAACTATAACTAAGTGTGACACTATTACAATACAGAAAAGGATTATTAAGGAGCATCAGAAGTCAGTTTCATCAAGTCAGCGCTGGTTAGGCAACAACTGGGGGGATGTTACCCCCCTCCTTCATTTGTGTTTTCTTTCCGCTTGACATAAATTATTTAGAAATATTATGTGAAACGTCTAATCTTAATAATGATTAACTCCTTACTCTCCTGAGTAGAGCTGAATGTATCCTTAATCTATGATATATTAACATCTAAAGCAAGCATTTACAGTATATTATTGCCAAAAGTATTGGGACGCCTTCCTTTACACGCACGTGAACTTTAATGGTCTACCAGTCTTATTCCGTAGGGTTCAGTATTGAGTCAGCCCACCCTTTGCAGCTATAACAGCTTCAACTCTTCTGGGAAGGCTCTCCACAAAGTTTAGGAGTGTGTCTACCATTGTACTCCTAAAGAGTGTGTTTGACCATTCTTCCAGAAGCGAGTTTGTGAAGTCAGGAACTGATGTCGGACGAGAAGGCCTGGCTCGCAGTCTCCGCTCTAATTCATCCATAAGGTGTCCTATTTGGTTGAGGTCAGGACTCTGTGCAGGTCAGTCAAGTTCCTCCACCCCAAACTCGCTCATCCATGTCTTTGTGGACCTTGCTTTGTGCACTGGTGCGCAGTCATGTTGGAACAGGAAGGGGCCATTCCCAAACTGTTCCCACAAAGTTGGGAGCATGAAATTGTCCAAACTGTCTTGGTATGCTGATGCCTTAAGAATTCCTTTCACTGGAACTAAGGGACCAGGCCAAACCCCTGAAAAACAACCCATAATCACCATAACCACAATAATCCCCCTCCACCAAACTTTATACTTGGCACAATGCAGTCAGGCAAGTACCGTTCTCCTGGCAACCACCAAACCCAGACATGTCCATCAAATTCCAGTGGTGGCGGGCTACACACCACTGCTTCCGACACTTTGCATTGCACTTGGTGATGTAAGGTTTGGATGCAGCTGCTTGGCCATGGAAACCCATTCCATGAAGCTTCCTATGCACTGTTTTGTGCTAATCTGAAGGCCACACAAAGTTTGGAGGTCTGCAGACTGTTTGACTCTGCAGACAGTTAATGACTTTCTGTGAACTGTGTACTTCAGTATGCACTGATGGCACCCTGTCATTTTACTTGGCCTACCACTTTGTGCCTGAGTTGCTGTTGTTCCCAGTTGCTTCCACTTTGTTATAATACCAGTTGATAATGGAATATTTAGTAGCAAGGAAATTTCACGGATGGACTTATTGCACAGGTGGCAACCTATCATGGTACCACGCTTGAATACACTGAGCTCCTGAGAGCACCCGATTCTTTCACAAATGTTTGTAAAAGCAGTCTGCATGCCTAGGTGCTTGATTTTATATACCTGCAGCCATGGAGGTGATTGAAACACCTGAATCAAATGTTTTGGAGGGGTGGCCCAATATATGTATATATTATACGAGTTATTTATAACTCCCATTGTTGACTATGTTTGGGGCTGGTTTTATATATACTGTATTTTCAAATATGTAAAAGGTACCTGCTGTCTAAAAATTTGTAGTGATCAAAGTCCAAATCAGTAAGGGCCTGTTTTGATGGCCCTTTGATTGCTGCAAACAGGGTTTGCATTGTGTATAGAATGCAAGTGTATGAAATGCAAAACCCACCTAAGGTAGGTGAAATTCAAGTCAGGAGGAGGTCCACTGCAGGTCAAATGCTACCGTTTGAATGATCTCAGAAGTGTCTGAAACTAATGTCAAACCAATGCCATCAGCACAAGTCCAAAGTCTGTTAACACAGGCCTTAATACAGGTTGTCTGTTATTGTGTCCACCAGTTAAAGGCTAAGTGCATATTTTATAAAATAAAATAAAATAAAAAGCACATCTTTTTGCAGGTAAAAAATATGAATTTTATTTTTTTTTAAAATTCTGTAACCTGTAGACATTGCACCCGTGATCAGCAGATCATGGGTGCAATACCAGGATAATGCAGAGACACTCAGTACAGCTGTCTGCCCATACCTTCTATGGGCAGACAGTTACTGAATTGTCGGAAGAAACAATTAATTATGAGAGAGCTCACCAGTGCCACTGTAGTTCATTGAGAACTACAAGCCATCAGCAGCGGAGGCCAATGATAGATGTAGTTCATCCATTCACTGAACTCTGCGAATGAGAGAATTGCAACATATGGCATTACCTTTGGAATATGTAACATTCTAAGCTTTTATTTACACTGATTAAAAAGTGGAAAGCTTTTATATAAAATGTCTAATTGTTATTCAAAAACAAGCCTGTGCGATAATTGTTCAAAGCTATGCCAGGTGCACAGTCTGTATTTGCAAGGTAGGGCATATAAATAATTTATTTTAGTACAAAAAATAGTTAATCCGTCATGAAGTTAGGTACTCCATCTGCTCATTAGGTCTGGACAAAGGGTGAAAACTGTGTGCTTTTGTGAACATTGGTGGCTTAGTGTGTAACTAGATATAACTTCGCTCTCTTATGTCGCTAAGTAGGAGCATTCTTGTGGTTCCCATAGTAAGGAGTAAGTTATGTTACTTCTGGAACCACTAAAGCACTTTCATTTACCTGTGGCCAGATTTCTTGGTAGGAAACAATTTTTGGGTAGTTAAACACACTGAGCCACAAATAATTTTTAAAAAATGTGCGCATGTAGACACCTTCATCCATTGCCTATTGCAGCTTAGCCATTTGCTCTCCACCCTATAGCATAAGTACTGCTACAGGGCGGCACAACTGTGCAAAATGAGGTATATATATATGTGATTTGCATTCCCGGGTAGGAGGCTTGCGGGGGCGCGCGCGCACCCTACCAGCACTGCTATTGGCTGCTGGGGATGTCAATAACTGGGTCCCAGCTGGTGATTCCTGGCTGGGACTCAGTGTTCATCAGCAGGGCTGAGAGGACAGGGATCTCTCTCCTGTCAGCATGGACATGTGCTTTGTATCTCTATGCACAGTAGAGAGATACAAAGCAGCATGTCTACCTAGTAAAATACAACACAGCACATACTGTAAAACACACACCGCACTCAGTTAACCCTTTGATCACCCCAGATTATAACCCCTTCCTGCCCAGTGTCATAAGTACAGTGTCAATGCTTTGTATTAGCACTGATTATTATTATTATTATTATACAGTATTTATATAGCGCCAATAGTTTGCTCAGCGCTGTACATTATAATGGGAGACAGTACAGTACACGAGACAGTACAGTAACAATACAGTACAATACACGAGGGGTTCGAGGGCCCTGCTCCTTGGAGCTTACAATCTAGGAGGGAGGGGATAGTAGTACAGGAGGAAATAGCTGTGGAGGATGGAGTGGTAGGAAGAGTGGAGGAGATCGGCAATTAGGTGAGGGCGGGGTAGGCTTCCCTGAAGAGATGGGTTTTCAGGGTGCACCTAAAGGTGAGGAGGGTAGGTGACAGTCTGATGGATTGGGGTAGTGAGCTCCAGAGGATGGGGGAAGCCTTGGAGAAGTCCTGGAGATGGGCATGGGAGAGGAGACCAGGGAACTAGAGAGTAGGAGGTCTTGTGAGGAGCGGAGAGTACGTTTTGGGTGGCATATGGATATCAGGTCGGTGATGTAGTTTGGTTCAGTGTTATGAACAGCTTTGTACGTCAATGTTAGTAATTTGAATTTTATGTGTTGGGCAATCGGAAGCCAGTGGAGGGAATGACAGAGGGGGGTGGCGAACATGGAGCGGTTAGTAAGGTGGATAAGTCTGGCCGCAGATTTCAGGATAGACTGAAGCGGGGATAGCCTGTGATGAGGTATTATTGTCACTGGGGAAGTCAGTGGCCGTTAGTCAGTTCCCACTCTGCTGCCATTTGTAGACGCTATAAACTTTCACGTAAACCACATAGCAAAGACATGTAACAGAATACGTTTTGGCCTAAATTCATGAATAAATTTTATTTTTTTACATTTTATTATTGGATATGTTTTATAGCAAAAAGTCAAAAATATAGGGGTTTTTATTTTAATTGTTGGTCTTTTTTTGTTTATAGCACAAAAAATAAAACACAGAGGTGATCAAATGACATAAATTTCATTTATTTACAGCGTTGCATGACCACGCAATTATCAGTTAAAGTAACACAGTGCTGTATCGTAAAAAGGCCTGGTCAGGAAGGGGGGTAAATCCCCTGGAGGGCAAGTGGTTAAAGTGCAACTAAAACACATCAATTTAATTATTTAAAAAACAGTTACATTCCCAGCATGCTGAAAATGCTGTCACATTTTCTTGTGCTTGCACACTGTCAAACCATCAAATGGCTGATGTCATAACTTATCATATGTGCAGCTTATGGCAGTTGCAGAATAAACAGAGGCTAAAATGACAGCTTCCTTAGCTGAAAAGGACAGAAGGTTTAGTTCCACTATCCTTGAAATATGAACATGAAATATATTATTATTATTATTACTACGAGTTTATATAGCGCCAAAGGGTTTGCTCAGCGCTGTACAATAGAGGGGGGACAATACATGGCACAGTACAACAACAACAAAAAACGTACGAGGGGTAAGAGGGCCCTACTCTTTCGAGCTTACAATCTAGGTGGGAGGGGGGTAAAGGTGCAGTAGGAAGTGGCTGAGGGGAATGAGGGGTGGGAGGACATATAAATATAAACAAATAATATCCCTCTAAATTGTGTACTTTTCTCAATCCAGAATACTAAGTGTCATTTCTGTCCACTGCCTTGCTTCTTTGCTATATGCTTCAATAATTTCTGACAAGTTTTCCTGAACCCAAGAAAAAAAATGGTGGCAGGGGAGGACACAGCCTGTGACTGACAGCCTCAGCTCTGTTCCTGTGTGCTGTGTGAAGGAGGTGTGTCTCTACCCTCCAATCAGCTCTCAGAGCTCTCCTCACTGATGTAACTTCAGCTGCCTGCCCCCCCCCCCCACTGATCTGTATAGCGTAATGGCGCCACTCCAAGGTGGAACTAGGTCATTGGTGTCCACAAATGTCTCCAGTCTTGCAAGTGGTGTGAGGAAGGACGCCACTCTAACCGCTCATGGAATCCTGTATGAAGATGGCCTCAGCTGTTGCTCTAGCTACACTCACTGACGCGTTTCGCCCCACCTGCCACAACTTTCGAATTTACAAACACGATATATCATTTATGTGGTCACCTGCCTTAAATGTAATGTATGTAGGCTGAACCCCAAGATGCCTGTTTGATAGGATGCGTGATCATCTGTCAAACATCAGGACTAGCAAAGAGACCAACATTTCCAAGACATTTCAGAAGGCACCACAATTCTGACACCAGCTCTCTCAAGATACAAGTCATTCAATGTCATTGAATGTATAGATCCTTCCAGTACAGGCGGTGATCTATTTTCCCCTCTCTGTAAAAGAGAAGTATTCTGGATCTTTAAACTTGAGACCAGGGGCGGACTGACAACTCATGGGGCCAGACTGACAACTCATGGGGCCCCCGGGCAATAGGAGATCATGGGGCCCCTGTGTCCTTGCCCAAACACAAAAAAGCCTATGAAAAAGGTACCAGGGGCATCTCATAGGGCCCCCTACTGACCCGGGCCCTCGGGCAGTGCCCGAGTTTCCAAATGGTCAGTAAGCCCCTGCTTGAGACACGGATCCCCAAAGGACTGAACTTCGAGTGGGATGTTGCCCATTACTATGATGGCCTCTGTGACTAAGCCCTGGTTGGCGGGGAAAACGCATCAGTGGGCATGGCTGGAGCAACGGCTAAGGCAATCTTCATACAGGATTCCATGAGCGATTAGAGCAGCATGTTTCTTCACACCATGCCTGCCCCCCTGATTTTCAAAGCTGAGAGATTCTGTGTAAATACTGGACACATGGATGTAGGGGAAATATGAATGTAGATAAACAGGTACAACTTATGTAGGAGGATTGGTTTCATCTCTGCATATCAACTGAGGTCAATTCACTGGGTATATGTAAGGGTGGGGTTTACAACCACTTTAAGTGAGGCGGTTGAAAGGGGGACATAAATGCGGCCTAACCACGCATTTTACCACCTCCCAACCAAAGTCTAATGAGGCACAACAGTTATCATTCGAAGCATGCTATGAATTGAACTTTTTTGGAAAACAGTTAAAGTGGAATTAAAATACTCACCTAACAGTCCAAAACCGGAATAGTCCCTTTTCTGACATCTTCTCCCCAGCTTCTTCTGGGTACCAGTCTTCAGCCATTTTGATTGACTGGTGCAGGATGACATCATTCCTGTGCATGCACAGGAGTGCGGTCATCCCAGAAAGCAGGCACTGTGCCAGAATGTGAACTGAGCTGCACATGCCGGCATACATTCTACAAAGGATTGTAAAAAGCCAGGTAAG